ATGATACGTTGATTTTTTGAGTTTTTGTATTGAAAAAATCTGATTTTTCCGTGTAACATTTATTAATTTTTATAAATAAAGAAAATGCTTTAGACGTTCTAATAAAAAAATAAAAGTGATACGAAATGTTTATGATTATTTGAAATGTTTATGACTATTTGAAATGTTTAAGACTATTCGAAATTCCATCCATTACCAAAAGTCATGACATAATCACAAATGTATTTTTTAATTAAAAAAAAATTGATATATATAAATATATATATTATTGTATTTCCATGCTATTATTGTCGTTATTGTCACTATTGTCTACATCTTTATTGTCACCATCGTCTTCATCTTTATCATCATCATTATCGTCATCTTTTTATAAAATTTGCAATTTAATTTTTGAATAAATATATATTTAATAAAAAATTTATTTAATAAAAAATAGTATTTACTTGTTGTTAATATATATTTGACATGTTTTATTTCTGGTGCGAATGCCATGAATGTGGAATCATTTAAGGACACTTCACTCCATCTATTCTCAAGTTTTAAGTGACATCCAATAACATCATCTTTGAAATCCATAAATTCTTCTATACTGGTCAATAAAGTTTCAAACGTATCACGAGGATCAGTGATTACTGTTCGGAATTTTTTGTTGTTGTTGTGATATATGGTTAAATGCAAGGTTTTTATATTCATTATCAAAAGTTTGGAAAGCAGAGGAAAAACGAAAACAATTTTTTTTTATGTTTATAGAATAATATTGCCTTTGTTAAACAGGACTTGTTGGGTAGTGTATTCGCATGGTTGTTAACAAACAATCTAGTAACATGGATGGGAGATCGAATACAATGGAAGACAAGTCCTATTATTATTTTTGAGTTTATTATTAAATAAAAAAAACTATGAATGCAATAATTAATATATACTACAGTCAAACCTCGTTTCAACGGATCCGTTGAAACGAGATAATGATCTACAGGATCAACAGGAAAATTTTAATAATAAAATTTGTGATTTAAATATAATAATAATACTTATTTACAAAAATTAAATGCTAATTAATAGTCAATTATTTACTGAAAAAACTAGTAACGTTTGTTTGTATTGAATTTTGAATACTATATGATTTTATTGTTTTTTTTTCAATGATTTTAAAGCTTTTAATTCATTATAATCTGCTTGTATATTATTTTGTTCAAGAAAATTAAAAGCAGTTTCAAAAGCTTTTTCACATTTTTTGGAAGAAGAAGATAGTTGTTGAGACATTTTAATTTCGTAGAATTTAGAGATTTATTAATTTAAAGAAATCAAAGAAAATGTTGATTATGTAGAATTATTAGAAGATATTTATTTATTATCAATTTAGAAATATGGAAAATTTGATTAATATTATTATTTAGTGATGTGTGTTTAATTATTCGTGTAAAATCATTATTTAGAAATATGGAAAATTTTGATTAATATCATTATTTAGTAATAATAGTAATGCGAGAATGATTCATGTAAAATCATAATTATTATTTAGCAATGAATTAATCTTAACATAATAATGTGTTTTTTTTTATAAAATCCATATCACGTGAATCCGTTGTCCGTTGAAACACGATTTAAATATAAAATCCGTTGAAACAAAAATCCGTTAAAACGAGGTCCATTGAAACGAGGGTTCGACTGTATATTTTTTCTTGTACTATTATAACAAAGTTATGTTAACATTAAATTCTATTTGAAGGTATATATATCATACATAACTTTCAGTTTTTTTGAAGTTATATCAATTTCTTCAGAATCCATTTCTTCAGAATCCATTAAACGCTTTTTGCCTAAACCCAAAGAGGAAAAATTAGGATAGATAAATCGAGGAGATATTACATAAAGCAATATACATTCAAATAAATATAAACGAAATGGAAAATAGTTTTTTATACATTTTTTTTTATTCATTACCTTTCCCTCCACTGAATTCTCTTAATACCTTTCCCATTCCCTCGCCTGCTCCTTCCAATCGTTTTTGACTTTCTTTAGCTCTTCTTTTTCTTCTTTACCCCATCTTCCCACTTTCTCTTCTGTCCTTCGTCCTTTCATTCTTCATCTAACTTTCTCCTCAACTTCAGCCACTTCCTGTCATCCTCTCCTTCTTCCCACACCTTCAACTTCATCTCCGCCTTCTCATAATCTTCTCTTGCTTTGTTCAATTCGCTTCGATTTTCTCGTACGTTACCATTTTTTTTATTGATTTAGATCGTAATTGTTATAATTTATGTATAATGATAAATTTAGTTTGCACGTGACTTGGAATTTATTTACAAACGACAAAAGAAAATTATTTATAAAATATAAATCAAAGAGTTGTCAGAGCACTTGTACGTGAGAAAAATATTCGGACCCAAAACCATTTATAAATATTACCTATGTTCTGACAAAACTTCAACTTCACTATTACTATTGCTATTATTATTATCAATAATCCTCGTTGTTTTCATTATCTTTTTAATTTTCATTTCTTCTCCTTTTCAATCCGACTTCTGAATTGCTTCTAACGTTTTTCTTCTAGGTTTGGTTTTTCGTTGGTAGAAAGTTTTTATTGTGAAAGCAGCAATTCCCTTTCCCTCTTCAAGCAATTGGCGAATCTCAATGGCCATTCATCAAAGGAAAAATCGGAATTCAATTCAATTCTTTTATCAAATAATGGTTTGGAATCCTTCCATAGATTTCGTATTTTGCGTGAATATTTTTTATCTCCAGTAAATTTATTTATTTTATTTTTAAATTGGTTTTTTCTTGGTCCTACTTTTATTGATTATTCGAACTATTTTTTGATTTACAATATAGAGTTGATTTTTGTAAATTTTATAATGAAGCAATAAACCAAGAAAGAGTTCGTCAACAACAAAAAAATTCACTATTAAATGGTACAAATTATTTCAAAATTTTCTTTATTATTAATATTTTGAATCATATAAATAGAATAACAATATTTATTAAAAAATAATTTGAAGTAAAATATAAAGTATTTTTCTCGTAAATTAAAATTCACAATAACCGTTAGAATCTTTCACTATATATTAATTATTAAACATATTCTAACTATTACAAATGATTAGATATTATAAAATAAATTTAATTTCTATTACTATTGGAAGATCACATGAATAATAAAATTAAAGAAAAAAATATAATTAACATAGATTTGGAGGTACACAATTGCCTGCGCATCGACAAATCACTCTACCGCCTTTACATGGACAACATTTAACTTTACCAAAATAGCCTTTAGATGCACAACTAGCTTTACAAGCGGGTATACCACCGAACTCACAAGAGAAACGTTTATTTAAAATATTATCTTCATTAATGTTACCAGTTGGTGTTGCTGAAGTAATAGCAATGATAAAAAGATAAAAGGTAAGTAAAAAGAGAATAAATTTCATTTTGATTTTTTAAGGTTATATAGAAGATTAAGTATATATGTGTGTGTTTCTAGTTTTTTAGAAAATAGTTTATTGTTATTATTTGTATTTTTTTATTTTTGAATTAGAGAAAAAATCGAGTGGAATTGATGTATTTATAAAAAATTTCATTTCTTTCTTAGTGATATCTTATAATATCAGGAAAACAAAAGGTTGTTTTTTCAGTTAATGTTTATTATTAATTTTTGCACTTACTATTTTTTTATATCTTATAATATCAAGAAAACAAAAGTTATTTTCCAGTTAATATTTAATATTAAATTTGCATAAATTTTTAGTCACAATAACAATATAGTATAATACTTGTCTCGACGGACTTCGTTTCGACGGATTATAATTAAATTCGCGTTTTCAACGGATTTTACGAATTTTAAAAATATCTTGTTACACATCGAAACGCGATTTATATATACTATTATTATTGTTATATATATACACTAATATAGTAAACTCGATCATTATTACCTCTAAAATTGAAAATTCTAGAATGCTTCATTTGGTTTTCTCAATTTTTGTATATTAATATATATCAATAAAAATCGTTTATTCGTTTTATTTGATTGATCAATAATAACAAGAAAAAATTAAATATTTTATAAATAACGAAAAGCGCGCGAACTATAGTGTTTATCTTTGCTACAAAGTATTTTATTTCCGGTTTGTAGTCATTTTCGCTTGGTAACTAACATGAACGAATTTGCTTCAAACTATTACCGCTTTGGAATAACAAATTTGTATGTCTTGTCTCAATACCGTGTTATATATTATATATCATT